AATATATTTGAAACATTTTTTTTTTTTGCTGTATTGGAAACCTGTTTATGTGTCACTGACAAATATGCATCACTTTAAATGTATTTGTTTGTGTTCAAACTGTGTAAATGCACAGAAATTTTTTATGCAATGCAAATACATAAATCTTACATTTAGACCTAAATATTTTTTGAATGTATTAACTATTTAACAGCGTTATATCGGCCATTAGATATTAACCCCACATGCATGAGTGAGTTTAACCTGTGGACTGGAAGACGTTGGCGTTGCAGTTACAGTAGCGTGTGGCGAAGGCCTCCATCATACGGTCGATCTTCTGAGCTTCACCCGGCAGACGGAAACTCCACAAGAACTGCCTGCGAAAGAACGAGACAAACAGAAATAAGACAAGTTCAGCTGCTCGTCTGTGGCTGAAGAAGAGCTCGTGTTCTCACCGTAACGCCTGGACCAGGTTAAGATCTGAAAACTCGTGCAGCTCCACGAACGCTTTGAGAATCCGCAGGTGCATGTCCTCCCTGAAACACCAGACACGGTCAGATACAGATTCAGACACACACACACACACACACACACACAAACTCCCACATACACACACACACACATACACACAAAGACACACACTCATACAAACACACACACACACACACAAAAACATACACTCACAAACACACACACAAACACGCACACACACAAACACACACACACACACACATGTCTGGTCAGCTATCCTTGTGGGGACTCACACAGAAGAGACACTCGTATGACCTGCAGCTCGTGTGTGTGTGTTTATCAGCTCCGTCCACACCAGTTCCTCCAGAGTTCAACATCTGTTTTTAGAGATTTTCCTTCAAACCCACACTTCCCTTTTCAGCAGAATGACTAAAGAAAGACTAAAACCCTCAATGCAAAATCAGATAAACTATTACTCTGCTTAAGCTTTGGTCACCTACGATATTAGATGAGATTAGATGTCAAAAGTGACAGTAAAGACATTTATAATGTTACAAAAGATTTCTATTTCAAATAAATGCTGTTCTTTTGAACTTTCTATTCCTCTGTGAATCCTGAAAAATAAAATGTATCACAGTTTCCACAAAAATATTAAGCAGCACAACTGTTTTCAAACATTGATAATAATCAGAAATGTTTCTGGAGCAGCAAATCAGCATATTAGAATGATTTCTGAAGATCATGTGACACTGAAGACTGGAGTAATGATGCTGAAAATACAGCTGCGCATCACAGAAATAAATTACAGTTTAACAGATATTCACATAGAAAACAGCTGTTTTACATTGTAATAATATTTCACAATTTTTATCCCATTTTTGATTAAACAAATGCAGCCTTGCTGAGCAGGAGAGACTTACTGACCCCAAACTTATGAACACTAGTGCATGTGCGTGTGTGTTGTCTATAGTCTAGATCGATGAGTTTAGTGTGTTTGTGGTGGTAACACGCTTGTCTCTGAACCTCACAGAGATCAAACGTTCACATGTCTCTCTCTCTGTCGTCTCTTCTCAGCTCTTCAGGTCTGCAGCAGCTCGTGGGGGTCTCGCTGTTTAACGTGCAGCAGCAAAACCACAAGGATTCAGAACGAGAAAAACCAAAAGTATTTCAGGTGTTGACCTGAGAGTGTTCAGATCCTCCACGTCACTCCGTCTGTCACTCTCTCCCACACACACACACACACACAC